CCAAATACTAATACACCCCCAGCTAATCCCCACAACTGTCTGTCGGCATTATTCTGCAAGTACACACACATTATATTGATTGCAACCTTCAGATGCAGTACATAATGCAACATCAAATGGTGTGTGCTCAATACCATTTTCTGTATTAAAAACGAAGGTGTTTCACCCTCCATGCTTTCAAATGGACTCATGAGGAAACGTGTTTTTCTTTTGGAGATTTAACGAAATAAATGGGGTTTGAAGTTTTCGGGAGCATAATTTGGAAAAAAAGGAAACACGTTTGAAGAATAAGTTTTTTTTTAATTTAATTTTGTTTTTTCACTATTCTAAGTAATCACAATTTACATTTTCTAAAATCCATCTTAGAGGTTTTGTAATCATTTCCCAAGAGTTTCTTCTGTTGGAGAGCTTCAAAATTACAAATAGTTTGGTTAATAAATGTCATGCAACATTAATTCAGAGTTTTATGCAAATTAATCCTTTTTTCTTCAACAATGAATGCAATGAGGGAAGAGGGAAGTAACTGACATAGCAAAAATGAGGGATTTTGAATAGTTAAAGTATTTTATTTTTTTTCATTTAACTATTTTGAAACCACTTATCTTGACGTTAACCCAGCAGAGTGATGTAGAAAAACATGAACATTTTCAGTCTACTTCTAAGACCTGCTTCAGGTCATATATTTGAAATAGATAAAACACCCAACATGTCAATGTTCAAATGTGTCAAACGCAAAAGAGCTTACACTTAAAGTCAAATTTAAAATCCTCTAAAATTGACCAATAGGATGTGTCCAAGTGCAGAAGATGTAAAATGGATAGTGTGACAGACCGTGTTTGATATGTCATTATGGAAACCGATTTACAACTTCTACACTTGGACAAATTCTATTGATCAATTTTAGAAGATTTTAATTTGAATTTAAGTGCAAGCTCTTCTGCATTTGACATATTCAAACATCAAAGTGTTAGGCATTCCATCTATTTGAAATTTGTGATCTGAAGCAGGATTTAGAAGTAGACCAAGAGAGTTTATATTTTTCTGTACATCACTTTGCTGGGTTAATGTCAAGGTAGGGAGTTTTTACAATACAGTATAGCCAAATTTCTGGAATACATAATTTTTATATTCTTTAACTATTTCACACACAGTTTACCGTAACTTTGACATCAGAAATTGTAAATTGATTTTTAGCTTTTTAAGTCAAAAGCAATCTATCAGAAAGAAGTCTGTTTTACTTTTGAACAAGTTGAATTTGTTAATGTTATACTTATTGTTTATATGATGTCTCAATAAACCAAATCATCAACTCAGAAAAAAAAAAAGCAAAACTCTTTACACATTTTCATTTGAAGTTCCGCTGAGTTGACGGTGAGGTTTATTGAGACATCATGTGACAAAGTGGCTTCTTCTGTTAGCCTTTCTTAACTCTTCCATTTAAGTCTAGAGTGTGAATAATAGAATAAAACAAAATGTACTGATGTCTGTTTTGTTATCCACTTTGTTACTTTGGCCTTAGGATTTTAAGTAGATGGGATAACAAATATAACAGATAATAAAACAGACGTAATAAACATCCATTCCAGTAATTTTTCTAAATTTTACTACTTCAAATTTAAATTTTTTCTGTTTTTTTTAAAAAATTGTCCCCAAAAAAATCCAAATCCCTTTTTTTGTCAACTCTCCAAAAGGAAACCTTTTTTTTTCCTAGGGATTAAAATGGAGCTAGCTCCAACTTTCACTAGACTTTCCTAAACACCTTTGCTTCCTTATTAACAAAAATCCAATAACATTCAGTAGTGTCAGTAGTGCCATTTGCTGCCATGTGCACTTTGTGCAACGGCTTTTGTAACTTTGTTGTGTCCAAGTGAATAACAAAGTAGAAAAGTTGCCAAATTCTTATAATAAATTAATCATTAAAAAAAATGTTCTTAAAGAATTGTATCAAATTAACAAAATGGATAAAAGACTATGATAAAGAAAATTCAATCAATAGAAATTTGTTGTAAAGACAGTATGTTGTATTAAAATATCAAGTTTATAAAGAATTTAAGAAATTAAATGTGTCAATTTTTCCAATGAAAATTTAATAGTCAGAAAATTCAGGATTACTGTTTTGTAAATTTGAAAAAAGAATGAATAAGAGGAAAAGAAAAAAATTGAAGTTCATTCATAACTACATTTAAATAGTTAAGCTAACTATTGCCAGAAAATTAAGCTATAAAATGAATTCTTACTTAAAATGTTTGTATAAATTATCAAATCATAAAATATTGATATTACTGTACAATTAATTAAAGAAATTTTATTTGAATATAGAAAACTAATTAATCATTTGTTTACAACATACACAAAATACAAACCTCCAATATTTTATCAGTTTTTTTTAAACTAACAAACAAAAATTAAAGAACACATACTTAACTATTTATCACCACAAAAATAAATACAATAAATATTAAACACCTAAAACAGTATTTAATATTTGTTGTATTTATTGTTTTTACTGTATAATATTTATTGTATTTATTTTATTGTCTTATGTTTTTTACATACAATAAAATCTGAAAATTATAAATCAAATTATTTGACAGATTTCAGTCACGTAATAATTTTTGTTTTAATTTCAATCCAGTGAATTATCAAAATGAAAAACAAAATTTAAAATGACTACTTTTAATTATTTATAAATTCTTTATAATTTTAAAAATTTTTGACTAAATGTTCATAAATATTTTATAATCTTATAATATAATTGAGATGGATTGATAATGATAATAATAAGCACAGTACCCAAACAGTTAGGAGTTAAAGGTTGAAATTTGGTACACAGTGTATGTTCTCGTAATGTACCCTAAGAAGGAATTTTTCAAAATTCCCCCATGGGGAGAGGGACGGAATTAAGTCTACAGTGAAGAACTTGGTTTCTATTATCCTATTTTAGATGCAGTTTTTTGTGTTTTTCATTGTGTTTTAATATGGTATGCCATGAGAATGCACATTAAAAAGGGATTTGAAATTCCCACTGCAGGGGAGAGGGAGAGGATTAACAATTACACCAAAGAATGCAGCTTCTACTGTACTATTTTAGATGCCTCTTTTGTATTTATGTGGGATATTGAACATATTTTTAGACCCTTCTAAAAATTCTCAATGATATTGTAAGGAACCAAGTCCGTGTTTTATTTTTAGTTTACTTTTACTTTGCTTTATTATATTTTTGTTTGGGGCTTATGTTTGGTTAGGACGAAGGTTTCCTCACCCACCACCCTAACATTCAAAACGAGAAGATAAAAGATTAACCAACTCACCGACGACAAAACAATAGCGCCATAGCTAGCATTGCACTCACGTGCACGCCCGAGCGGCACCCAACATGTCAATGTTCAAATGTGTCAAACGCAAAAGAGCTTACACTTAAAGTCAAATTTAAAATCCTCTAAAATTGACCAATAGGATGTGTCCAAGTGCAGAAGATGTAAAATGGATAGTGTGACAGACCGTGTTTGATATGTCATTATGGAAACCGATTTACAACTTCTACACTTGGACAAATTCTATTGATCAATTTTAGAAGATTTTAATTTGAATTTAAGTGCAAGCTCTTCTGCATTTGACATATTCAAACATCAAAGTGTTAGGCATTCCATCTATTTGAAATTTGTGATCTGAAGCAGGATTTAGAAGTAGACCAAGAGAGTTTATATTTTTCTGTACATCACTTTGCTGGGTTAATGTCAAGGTAGGGAGTTTTTACAATACAGTATAGCCAAATTTCTGGAATACATAATTTTTATATTCTTTAACTATTTCACACACAGTTTACCGTAACTTTGACATCAGAAATTGTAAATTGATTTTTAGCTTTTTAAGTCAAAAGCAATCTATCAGAAAGAAGTCTGTTTTACTTTTGANGTCGGAATTCCAAGGGGAATAGTTCTAAGTTAGAATAAGACTTAAGTTTGTCGGGTTGATTTGTGATTTGAATTTTGATTAATAAATTTGTTGTTTGTTTATAAATCTTGTACATAGTATTGGTTAAACTTGATTAAACATTTATTATTGAGATTTTTTTGTGACTAACTTTGTCCTTAATTTATTTCGGTGCACGCTAAAAGTCCAGGCCTGGCAACTAACAAACGCGAACCCGCGTAAAGTACCCGTTAGGTCCCGGCTCTAAGAAAAATATCATTGTAGAGCAACAAATTAAAAATAGTACTTTACAATATTTAGTGTTCCAATGTATATAAAGTTGACACAGGGAGTGCATGCGTATAAGTTTGCTTTATTTGAACTCTTTGTCTTAATGTTTGCTTTTATGTTCGAATTTATATTCATGAATAATTCTGGAAGAATCCAGCTTATTTTTTTGAATTTAGTAAAACCTGAAGAAAAACTCAGAAAGAGTTACGAAAATGTTTATTATTCATCACTTAGTGGTACTACATACCAGTTAGTGGTTGCAGTGAGTCTTGTTTATCATTATATCGGTATGGTAAGCAGATATCTAAAAATTCTCTAATTAGTCTCGGAAGAGGGGGATATAATTCTTGCATTCAGTAAAAACAGGTAAGATTGGCTATAATCTAATAATCTTAATCTTTGCTATCATTACTTTTTGTCCAAGCAACGCTGAACTCATCTGTTAGTATTTACATAAAAGTTGATAAGATATCATCCAAGCATGACATTCAGAAAATGTCTCATATTTCTTTTCAAAATAGTTTCTATTATTGCTGTTTCAATTCACAACATTGACGAATATTATCACGAAGCAGTCAAAAATATCTAAAATTAAATTAATATTTTAACTAAAGAGAATTCACTTTCAATCTATCTATTGAGAAAAACAATCATCAAGCATTTTATCTTTCAAAACAATCTTTTATAATCAAATTTAGACAAAATACTGAAAATCAAAACAATTATGTTAAAGTTTAGGTAAAAGTTTATTATTATAACATAGTAAATTGAAAGAGAGAATGAGAAAAGTGACTTACTCAAATATAAAAAACAAAGTGCAAGTAATTATGATGAGGCCAACAGTGAAGTAAAAGACTCCAGTCTGCCTTGCCATCATTATTCTGCCATCGCAGTAAAACTTGTTCCTGCCTGGAAACACTTCCCATTTCCTCACAACAACGTGCTGCATCTCGACAGTGGACGGGGATACGACACAATAATTCAACGCGTTTTGAGGTTTCACCATTGAGTCGTAAGATTGGTCCATTTGGAAATATTCAATTTTCCCACCATTGCTCTTGCAATTAAAACATGAGAGCAAAAAAAATCATTATATTTCTCTTGAGCAAATTATCAGCTTACATCACTCCATTCCACTATCTCGTCATATACAACATCTTAATATTCTTACCCAATTTTATTCAATTTTTATGAAACGTGCACTTTTTTATATTCAAAAAATGTATTTTCAGTTCTAAAAAAATCGTCAAATACAACTTAAATAGTAGAAAACTAGCGATTTTATCAGATGTATTTTTCCGACGATGACATTCCGCCACAAAAAATGGATTCCCTCCAAACACACCAACGGAGCATGCGCTATAAATATACTCTGCGGTATTCTGTCATCCTTTACCGCGCCTAAACTACTGAATTTTTTATTTTCTCGAAATTTTATCGCTTTAATTATCAATTTTTAATTATAATCTGTTGCTATTTTAATATTTTACCTAATGGATTTTTATTTTAAAAAATTAATTTAAAATAATTCTGTTTACTTATTTCAAGCGTGAAATTATTACTATTATTTCTAATTTTTATCAAAAATAAAAAATGTGATTTAAAAAATCGAAAAATAAATTAAAAGTTAATATAAGACCAAAATAGGAAATAAGAATAAATTCATTTATTTGTTAAATAGGTCGCTGATAGAAAGTAATGCGATTTACAGTCCCCTATCTATGACCTATTTCATTTTTCTAAAAGAAAAATTATGTTTTTTCTCAGCCAAGATAGAAAAGTAAAGCTATTGTAAGCAATACGCCTAATTGTTTTCAAGAAGCAGGGATAATAGCTATATTTCGTCAATTTTTAAATAGTTAATTATGTGTTCTTTCAATAACTTTTGGATACCGTTGAAGTAAACGATTTTGATTAAGGTTCATGTCCCAGACCATATGTCCCGGGTTTAGGAGAAGAAGGGGTATGAGAAAAGATCACAAAAGACCACATAGGAGAAGGAATAAGCAAGTTAAAAGATATCATGTGGTAATAATTATTTTAATAAAATAAATGAATTTTAAAAAAAATTAACAACTATATATACAGTATTGTATGCTGCATTTAAAAATATATTGATATTTTTACAACTAGTCAATTAAATTAAACCGATTTTCTTGCGTTAATTTATTATTGCCAGCAAAAGCCACACAACTTGTCGTCTTTTTAAACACGCTATGACTTGAGGAGACCATAGAGCCGTTGCTAACCGCCGCAGACTAAAAACCTCAGGCAACATGCCGGACAAATTCTATCAGAGAGAATAGATGGCTCAACACAGAATCGCCGTTGTATATTGTTATATTTTTGCTCTGTGATGATATCCAGCCCCCAAAAAAGCAAGGTATGCTTTTAAAACTTTTTCTATTTTAATATATTACCTAAAAAAGTTCCTTGCAGCTCAGCAACTAATTGCTGTTTGTTGTAGCTGGGTAGTGTACCCCAGGTGTCCGGAGGGGTACAGTACCCACTCGGGAATATATCGGCCCCTGACTCTCACTACAAGGCCACTTTATTATGAGCCTAGCGGAATCCATAATGAGCTTTCTTTTTTTAAAAAAAACCCTTTTAGTACCCACAGAGTGGAAAGAGTTTTTTTAAAAAAGTTGAGGGCTGTAAGGGAATTAGTATTTCTAGATAACGTCAACAATTTACATAAACTTTAACAACCACTTAATAGAGGTTTTTTGGACAAATAAACCGAAATATTGTTTTTCGGATCCAACGTTCACTCGAGTTTAAGAATTACTCACAAGTCAGAATACGATTTTATTTCCAGGTATTTTATATCTATTTCTGATCAGAATTCTTGTCGATTCCTCTTCAGTAAAGGTAAAATCTGAGACAGACTTTACATCAATATTTGGGACTCCCTGTGACGTCGGAGAGTCCCAAATATTGGTGTAAACCGTTTGTTTTTAATGTGCGCTTACCTTTAAGGAAAGCGCATACTAGAGCAGATCGGACTGAATCGCATCGGTGGCGCATACGTAGTCGCATTGCAATGGAGAATCGAGCGGAATTTAGCGCAAAATAAAGTGTGAAAGTATTCAAACGAAATGCTTTTTTTTCCGGTATGAGTAATGTTAATAAAGAATTAGTGGTAGTGAGCTACCTGTTATTAGAAGAGAATGTTGTAAATTATGTAATTCTTCATAGTTTGTTCTAGGAAAACCTAGTCTGTCATGCAAGAGAAATGTGCATAAATGATAGTGTCCTTCTCATAAAGAAAACAAAAGGAAACAAAAAATGATTTCTGTTTAACGAGTGAAGTGTCAGAAGGTTTCGACAGCTTGGCACCAGGTTAGTGAGTTAGCGGTTTAAGGTTTGCGGGAGGAAGTGTTTGCCTTCTCGAGAATGAGAGAATTTTTTCCTTTGCGTCCTCTCTATCTGCCCACCCGCTTAGTGCGCGCATATCCATATTGGCCAGACGGACTTGAGGAGGCCATAGAGCCGTTGCTAACCGCCGCAGACTAAAAACCTCAGGCAACATGCCGGACAAATTCTATCAGAGAGAATAGATGCCTCAACACAGAATCGCCGTTGTATATTGTTATATTTTTGGCCAGACGGACGAATTTTTTTTTCCGTCCTTCTGGCCAAGTGGTCAATTATTTTTAAGATAAATGCACACATGGCATTGCTGTTTCGTTGATAGAAGAGTTTAACAGTAACGAGCAATCTCGTAGTGAGCATCAAGACTTCATCTGTCGAAGAATTGTGAAGAAGTTTTATACCCGAAATTTGTTTAAAACGTTCGTAATGTGCACGTTTTAAGGAAATAGCAACGGTAATTTTCGTCCTAGCAGCTGAATTTTGAAGTCAAAATTTTCTCGAAAATCGAACCACGTACTCAGGACAGTATTACCAAAATTGACTGAGATTTGCGTAATAGTTATTTTTACAGCGAACTCTGAACACGTACCCTTTAATTATGATCACCTTATATATTATCTCCGTAATAAAAAAACATCATCTAAATTTTCGACGCAAAATTTTGAATACATGTTAAAAAATTAACATAAATATCAGAAAATGATTATTTGTAACAGAACGGTTTGATAAGTTTTTAACATCACAGTTCTTTCTTGTAAACATTTTAATTGAAAATAAATGGCAACACTACAACCTATTCCTTCAACAGCGTCATCTGCATTCAAATGAAAAAACTATTTTTGTAAATATTTCACACGATGGAGAGGAGGGATTCGCATGATTTGTTAGAACAAATTAATAAGGAAGAAAAGAAAAAGAAATCAGAAAAAATATTAAGTAGAGAATGCTATAGAATGTTTAAAATTTTAATAAAAATAAATTTACATGTATATTTATATAACTTGTTTTATGATCAGGTGGAATATTCTTAGGATCTATTACAGGAGCATCTATTTTGTTTGGATTTGGTTTAACATTAGCAATAGCAAAAAAGAAAGAGCCAACGTTATTTCTAAAGGTATGTACAAATAGGTAAAATATATGGAATAGTAATGGATTTGAAAATGATGGTTTTAAAAGGACCCAGTAATTGATAATCATCTAAATACAGTCAGTTACAGTTATTAGCCCAATCAGTTAGTAGGACATGCCGAATATTAGGACAAAACATTCAAGAACAGAATCAAATCCTATAACTATAAGCCCCGAAAAGCTCCATTCCTGATGCCATGCTATTAAGTGGACTCGACTATTCCAAAGGAAATTTTTTATTTGATCCCAACAGCGGGAAACCAATTGTTGCAGAAGTAGATGAATCGAAATCTTTCCACCAAAAATATAACGAGACTATAGAGATAGGGACATTGGGTGTTTGGTCGTATAGAGGCAGTAACTGGGAAATGCTTTCTTGTTGAAGTATCTGATAGGAAGGAGCAGACACTGCGTAATTTAACTGAACTGTAGATTTTACCAGGTGCAGGTATTGTGAGATTTCGATTATCATTGATTTTTTCTACAAAAAATTTGTCTTGGTGTTTGTCGGTTACCTCGGATTTAACCAGTTTGCCCATGTGACCTCACTACTAATTTTATGAAAACAAAGGGTGACCCTCCTGTTTTTCTGCTCAGTGTGGCATTGTTTCTTGTTGTGTGAGCAGTGTGGAATTGTTTGGCTTGACACACGGGGTAATCCCCGTGTGTCTAGCCAAACAATTCCATTGCTTTCCTTTCCTTTTAGCTCCATCATGGGGAGGAGACCATAGAGCCGTTGCTAACCGCCGCAGACTAAAAACCTCAGGCAACATGCCGGACAAATTCTATCAGAGAGAATAGATGGCTCAACACAGAATCGCCGTTGTATATTGTTATATTTTTGCTCTGTGATGATATCCAGCCCCCCAAAAAAGCAAGGTATGCTTTTAAAACTTTTTCTATTTTAATATATTACCTAAAAAAGTTCCTTGCAGCTCAGCAACTAATTGCTGTTTGTTGTAGCTGGGTAGTGTACCCCAGGTGTCCGGAGGGGTACAGTACCCACTCGGGAATATATCGGCCCCTGACTCTCACTACAAGGCCACTTTATTATGAGCCTAGCGGAATCCATAATGAGCTTTCTTTTTTTAAAAAAAACCCTTTTAGTACCCACAGAGTGGAAAGAGTTTTTTTAAAAAAGNTGTATGTGTAGTGTAGAGTATTGTACCAAAATGCAAAATTTCCAGAAATGCTTAACTTCAATGTTTGAACATTTTATATTTCCTAAAGAGGACCAATAAAATAGCAGCTGAAAACGTTTGAACATTGAAACTAAGCATTTCTTTGCTAGAAATTTTGCATTTAGATGCGATTCTCTACTCTAAACTCAATCGTTATTCATCATTTTCATTGAACAAAAATATTTTACAATTTTTTATTTCAGATATGATATGGTAAATATGCTGATTTCTAATTTCATTATTAAGATGTAAAGTTTTTGATTATGATAAAAAAAGTTTATAAATCACTTTAATTTTTTATGCATACTATCTTTTAAGTACTTTGTTTCATCTTAAAATATTGAATCACTGATTTAAAAAAAACTTTAGAAGCCTTACTACTAAAGTAATTTATAGACAACAGTCAATTAAAGATATATACAGTAATAATTAATTAAAATAACCTAATTTAAGACATACGACTTGAATATTTTTTCCCAACTTTTTGTGGTATAAATTAAATTGTAATATTTTTATTTATTTAGGACTGAAAAATGTATGACAATAGTAATATTTACCAAAACTAGTTTTGATAAAGGTTATATTTAATCACATTATTAATTTTATAGAAATCATTTATTTTGTAACATGATCAACGCAAATAATGATATAATTATTTTATTTGCCTTAATTTGACTATGGAAAGCTAACTCTACCTTGAGAATTGAAACTATATGGGGGAAAAAATTATTACATTATGAAAATATTTCATTTTTCCTCTGTGTTACTCTGTTCTATTACTGATTTATATTTACAAAACTAATTTTGAAAATTTATCATCATAGAAACTGTTGTTCATAATAATTTGAATTCGTATTTTGTATGAAGAAAAACGAAATTACATTATATAATTTAAAGGTAGATAGAGAAAGATAATGTAAAGCATTCACTAGTTTTTAATAATCTATTGCAATATTTATTACCAAAATATTTTTTAAGTCCAAAGACTATTTGTTTACAGATCCATATTAATTTAAAATAACAACAACAACAGTAAGTTTGATATATGAGTATTTTTAATAATAAGTATATTTATGATAAATTTTATTTATATAATGTGTAATAAATTTAAAAAGCATATTTTAAAAATCTTGTAATTTCATTTATACATTTAAAATATACTTTAAAAATATTATTATTGTTATTATTTAAAGGGGATAATAAGAAGCCCAGATATTCCTGAAAGTGGAGGTTCTTTGGCATTAAGAGCATTAGGTTGGGGGACATTATATGCTACAACAGGTTTCAGTTTATTTTGTTATGCAGTGTGGAAAGCATTAGGTGTACAGAATGTAAGTATTAAACTTAATATTTTATTTGCAGACTTCCTATAAATGTTAATTTTCTTGAAAAGTCGAACAATATTTTTATTTGGATAAAACATAGATAGCTTTATAAAGTTTACTCAGGTCATTTCCATGAGATAGACACTTTAATGATCATAATTTTATTGCTATAAAATTAAAGAAACAAAGATAATTATCATAAGTCCTTACATAATTGCTTTTGAGCAATTACTTGATGCACCTCTGTTTTAAATGTAATTTTTATTGGAAAATATTCCACATAATCATCTGTAGGAAATTATGTGGAAGTTTCATCTGCTTTAATCACAACCATTACAGAATAGCAAAACAGATACTTGATTACACTAGTAGTATTCTGTTCAATATCAGATGAGATTAGAATAACCAACAATTTCTAATTCATGAACAAACATCACAAAATCCTATAAATTTGTAAAGCCAAGCAACCACCAGATTACATCGGGCTACTTTTTCATGGTTATATTTAATTAATTACTAAATAATTTGTCATTAGAGGGAGGTGTTAAGAGCCATCTCATATTAAATTTAATAATTAATTAAATTAATATTTAATAATTAATTTAGAATATTCTGGAAGAAAAGAATTGGCCTGGAGTGGGACTCGAACCCACAACTCCCAGTTACCATGCAGATGCATTGCCAGTTACACTACCCAAGCCTCCAGTCAAATCTCTTCTTCCAGAAATATTTAAGTATGATATAACCATCCTTGGTTAAGTAACCAAGGATGGTTATATCAAGTTGTTGAGGGTGCTGAAGGTATCCCCACCTTCAGCACCCTCATCTTATAAATTTAATTATAATTATTAAATTTGATAAGAGATGGCACCTATCCCCTCTCTCTAGTGACAAATTATTTAGTAATTAATTAAATATAATTGTGGAAAAATAGCCCAATGTAATTAGTGATTATTTGGCTTTAATTTCTAATTCTTCCAGAATTTTTGTCTATATGTTGTTATTTTTTTACCATAATATTCTCTTCAAAACTAATCATATAAAATGGATAGCTGGTGAAAAAGCAAGCTGTCATAACTTTGAACAGAAAATGTTTCCTATTGGCTGTTGCTTGGTGACTTCTATCCATAAGCATCCATACTGCCAAAAAATAGGAATGCTCTCTTTTGCAATTTTGATGTCTGTAAACGGGTTGTTGCTAGATAGCAGCCTATATGAATCCATTTTGCTGGACAAAATTGTGTAGTGGAAACCATCCACTGGGGGGTACTACAATACTAAAAAAGAAACATTTTATTTAAGCAAGGATATTTAAATGGGCAATGGGCAATTAAGTGAGGCTGTATACATGAGCATTATGTGAAGATTTATGGTATTTTTTGAGAAAAAAATATAATCTTGAAAAATTTACATTGTCCAGATTAAGAAAGGAATATTAACAATAATTCTTGTAACAGCTGAATTTAGCAAAACTTCACTAGAAAATATTGCTAGTTCATTCATTCAAATTACCAACAATGCAACAGACGATGTAAAAAGGAATAAAATAAATAAATAAGCCCTGGAAATGCTGTCACAAAAGAGATTGAAATTAGTTCTGATTACAAATGCTAATAGTGCTAAATATTATACATATAATATTTATATATAATAATATATATATAATATTATACATATAATATTTAGCACTATTAGCATATTATATGTATAATATTTTTATCACAAAAAATGAACTAACAACTATTCAGTCTTTGCTTTTATTTTTTATTTTTTCACGTTTTTTTTTTATATTGAAGACAGATAATATCTTCAATATAAAAAAGCTTGAAAAAATAAAATTGCCAACAATCTTGAGAATGTTCAACAAATAGCAAGTTAACTGAATAAATTTTTTTTCCATAAAGGTTAGGTTATTGAGGATAGATAGGCTATTTATATCAGAAAGAAGGAGTATTATGAGGAATGCATGATTATATCTAAAAACTATTTAAGAATAATTATAAGTAGTGATGTAACGAATATTCGGTTACTA